TCCTGGAACTCGCTTTGGAGACCAGGCTGGCCTCGAACTCACAGAGATCCGCCTGGCTCTGCCTCCCGAGTGCTGGGATTAAAGGCGTGTGCCACAACCGTCCGGCTGACACCATGTAGTTCTTGAAAGGACCAAGCAGACACCATAACTGGCTACTCTGTCCTCTCTCAGAGATCAGGCCTCAATTTCAGTTTCCTGAGACTTGAGCAAGCATTTTCTGGGGGGTCCATAAACAAAAGACCTAGTCCATGTCTCTGCTCATTAATTTCCTCATGTACACTAAAAATATTCTAAGAATAAAATGGGTCCAGGAGGTGGTGGCACACGCCTTTAATCCCAGCACTCGGGAGGCAGAGGCAGGCAGATCTCTGTGAGTTCAAGGACAGCCTGGTCTCAAAAGGGAGTTCCAGGAAAGGGGCAAAGCTACACAGGGAAACCCTGTCTCAAAAAACAAACAAACAAAAAAGACATAGTCCTAGCAGTAGCTCCCTTTCTGCACATGTTCTGACCTCTGAAGGTTCAGCCAGTTGATTACTCTCTGGGATCCCTCACCAGCTGAAAGCTATGTGCATGGGTCAATGTGAACATGGGAGGCCAGCCAGCCCCCATGGCAACTCAAGGACACAGCCTGGGACTTGTCCAGGCCTCCCCCCAAAATGAAAACTGTAACCCCCAGGCACTAAATTCAAAGTTTACACACCCTCACTCAATCATAGGACACCAAGGCTTGTACTACTCTTGTTTATGTTTTCTTTAAAAGCTGCTCACCTTGAGAGCTCAGGGCCATCCTCCACCACCCGTTTTATCAGATATCAAACACAGACCAAGCCCAAACTTGATTGTTATCAATAAACCCCCTATGTGTTTTGCATCGGATATCAGCTCTGTGGTGGTTTTGTCCAGGGGTCTGGTGATGCAGCCACAACAATGCTGGAGTGGAAGATTTTTTTGTTTTGTTTTATTTTTTTTGAGACAGCGTTTCTCTGTGTAGCTTTGGGGCCTGTCCTGGAACTCACTTGGTAGCCCAGGCTGGCCTCGATCTCACAGAAATCTGCCTGGCTCTGTCTCCCGAGTGCTGGGATTAAAGTTGTGCGCCACCACCGCCTGGCTAGACTGGAAGGTTAATGGGTGCTCTTTAGAGCTCAGCCATTCTCAGCCCCCAGGTCCCATTCTTGATTTTTTGTCCTTGGGCAAGTGTGCTGCCCTGACCTTCCTGAAGCACTGGCTGTTTCCTGGGGAACCAAGGGTGGCTCTCCTCCAAGCCACCTCTTCTGTTCTGTTCTGTTCAGTGGGTAGAAAGCAGGTCTTACATGGCTCAGGCTGTCCTTGAGCTGACACCTAGGCTGAAGTTAACTGACCGACTGCCTCCCACTCTTCAAATCTGAGCTTACAGGCAAGCCCTGGCTCGTCTACTGCAGTGAGTGCTGGGAAGAGGACGCAGTGGATGCTGGGTAGTTAGTTCTCTACAAACTGAGTGCATCAACAACACCCCAACCTCCATAGTAAGGGAATCAAGCCATCCTCCGGCCTCACCCTCTCAAGTTCAGGCCTTGAGCTCCAGAACATATTCCAGACTGACTAGGTGCTTTTCCTACAACACAGTGACAAAAATCTTTTAAAATTATTTTTATGTCTATTATCAGCAACAGATTAAATCCCAAACTGACTCAAAGTCAGACAGTCTTTGGTCAGATGAATTAAATTCAGCAACACATGGTGATTTATAACATTACCCAAGCAAGAAGGATGCTGAGGCTGTAATGCCCAAATCTCAGGGACCCCCAAAAGTCCACCACAGAGACCGAATCCCACATGTAAAAGCAAAGAGCCTTTATTTTCAATCTCCAGGGCTTGGTCTGTCTGTCCCATGCAGCAGTGACAGCAGACTGCCCTGAGCCCAGGCAGGTTAGGGTTTTTAATCATAGCAGAGGTTGGGCTGAGGAGATTTCCAGCATTCAGGACCCTGATTGACTGAAAATTGTCTAGGACTATCTGTAAAACAAGAACAGGTGTGTTCTGGACTCTGCAACATCTGGCTACCTTTTCTAATATTTGCAATGTTTGGGTTGTTAGGTACTTCCCCATCCCTGGGTGGATCCCTGGGTGGTGTTAGCTTATGGCTTTTCCTAGACCTGGGTGTTGCCTGCCAGTAAGCCTGTCACAGAAGCTGTGTCTGGGCCTCTAACCCTGTCATGGCAGCTGTGTGGTCAAGCTGTTTTGGGGCCCCTCAACAGAGGCAGGAGGATTGCTAGAAGTTAGAGTTCTAAAACAGCCTTAGCTTGTGAACAAGACCCAGTCTCTGTAACAGATTCAAAACTAAGTAATAAACAAGCAAATAAAAGAACAAATCAACAAATTCAGGTTTGTGTAGTTAATTAACAAGTGGAATGTTTATATTGACCCAAGACATTTGAGGGTCAGTGTAAATGTTATCACAAGGAATTCTTATTCAATCAATGAAAAGACTGAATATTGTCTATAGAATTAAAAGTTGCAGACTGAGCCGTCCAATCAAATTGCAGCTTGGGGTTGGAAGGTGGGACTGCAATAGGGAGGGTGAACAGGAAGGTATATAAAGGCTTCAGGAGAGCCATGAAGATACTGAGAGACCTGGAGCCTGGAGGAAGTGCCTGGCTCAGCTGGGATAAAGAGACTGTGGTCAGTGCTCAGAACTGGTGAGTAGTTGTCCTCCCTTGGGTCATGTGGTTTGATATAGGGACCTTTGACCAAGATGGATCAGGAAATTTTCATTTCTGTCTCTTCAGATGAACACATTGAAGACAATGAGTATAAATCTAAATGAAGTTTTACCTCCATCTCAAATGTTGTTCTATGCTAACTTGTTGATTTCATTATGGTTGTTGATTGTTTTGAGACAATGGTTTCCTTCATTGTTCAAGCTGTCCTACAACTGGCCCTGTAGTTCTGGGGAGGCTGGAAATCAAGATCCTCCTGACTCTGGGTGCTGAGGTTATTAGCATATTCCCTTGTACTGTGGTACATTCACACTACTGTTTTTATTTGTTTTGTGGAACAAGGCCTCTTGTGGACCTGTAGAGCACATATCTTAGCCTCTTTGGCAGTTCCTCAGACTGACAGTAGATGGAATTGTTTGTGAGTTCTATCTTGACTCAGGCTTTAGTCTGCATCTTTTTCAAAAAGGTTTGGGTTTTTTTTGGGGGGGCGGGGATATGTTGAGGTTTTCTGACCCAGGGTGGCCTGAAATATGCAGCCACTGCAATCATCCTCCTTGGTAGAAACTAAACATTTTGGTTTTTTGAGACAGGCTTTCTCTGTATAGCCTTGGAGGCTGTCCTGAATCTGGCTCTGTAGCCCAGGCTGGCCTCCAACTCAGAGAGATCCACCTGGCTCTGCCTCCTGAGTGCTGGGATTAAAGGTGTGCACCACCACCACCCAGTTAGAAACTAAACTAAAGATTGAACTACAACATAAGGCTTTTTTTTTAATTAAGTGTCATTTATAAGGTACTTTGACATTGAAATCATGTGCCTCTTAGGGGCATAGAGAGGCTCTTATAATGCCAGTGAGTCTAAATTTTTTTTTCCAAGACAGGGTTTCTCTGTGTAGTTTTGTGCCTTATCTGGAACTCACTTTGGAGACCAGGCTGACCTCGAACTCACAGAGATCTGCCTGCCTCTGCCTCCCAAGTGCTGGGATTAAAGGCGTGCGCTGTGAGTCTAGATTTACACTACCAGTGAGGACAATGGCTTAAGTTGATGTCTCTACCATTGCCAGAGCAATTGACTCAGATCTTGAGTGGTTACTGTAGGGAGGGGGGATTTCTAAACTTAATTTTGAATTAACTCTCACCTGAATGCTTCCCCAGAAACCTTCTGAGTGAAGACCATTCATGATGAGTGGTCAAACCCCACCCACACTGGAGGAGCTGGCAAGGCAGGCGCTGCTGAGAAATGAGGCCTTGGCCATCTCTGCTCTGGAGAAACTACCCTGGACGCTCTTCCCAGCACTGTTCAAGGACGCCTTCAATGGCAGACACACTAGGATTGTGAAGGCAATGGTGGCAGCCTGGCCTTTCCCCTGTCTCCCTGTGGGGACGTTGATGAAGACCCCCAACTTGGAAATCTTCCAGGCTGTGCTAGATGGGGTAGACATGCATCTGAAAAGAGAGTTTCACCCCGGGTAAGCAACAACTAAGTACTGTAGACTGAGCACAAGGGGAATGTGGGAGAGACCGTGGGTCAGGGAGAATGGCTTTGTAGGTGGGTCAGAGGCTTCTGATGGGGTCATGGTGCTGGAATGCAGGGGCCTTGAAACCTATTGTTTCCTGTAGTAAGGACGGTTGAGTATGGATTAGAGGACAGAGTAGAGGTAGCCAGAGAGGAAGGAGCCTATCCCTGGCTTTCCAACAACCACTAACATGGGACTAGGTAGAAATGGAGAGTAACTTAGTGGAAGGAAAGTGGTCAGCCGTACACATGCACCTCACGCGGAGATGCCATGACACACATGAGTTCCTACGTTGGACACTTGGTGCTGAAGAGACCTTGGCAGGAGGGAAGAGCTGACATTAGGGATGTGTAGTGGAAGCTTGCTGGTGTAGTGGAAACTTGCTGGTGTAGTGGAAACTTGCTGGGTGTTGGGGCTTGTCATGTCTGCTGACACTTTACCTGTTTTACCCACAGGAGCGAGCAACTTCAGGTGCTCGACCTGAGGAATGTTCACCATGAGTTCTGGAACATATGGACTGGAAGAGAGGGTGGGGCCTGTTCGGCAGAGACTGTGGATGAGAGGCCTGTAGTGAAGGACCTTCCCAGATATGCACTGAGGCGGCTGCATCTGAAGGTGGTAACTGACCTCTACCTCAGGTTCCCTCTGAATGAAGAGCAAGCATGCTTCTTGCAGTGGGTCCAGCAGAGAAAAGACTTTCTACAGCTGCACTGTATAAACATGAAGATCTGGACTGTGCCAGTATGCCCTATCAAAGAGATCTTGAGTGTTTTCCACCCAGGACGCATTGAGGAGCTGGAATTGAACATGGGGTGGGATGTGTCCACACTGGCACGATTTGCTCCCTGCCTTGGACAGATGAGAAGTCTTCGCAAACTCTTCCTGGCATACATCTACAAGAACACTTTCAGGACTGGAACCAGGACAGCAGGCAGAGAAGAGAGGTGCATCAGCAAGGCCTTTGCTCAGTTCTCCAAACTCCACTGTCTGCAGCATCTCTCCATTGATGACATCTTCTTTCTCAAAGACCACATGAAACAAATACTCTGGTAAGCAAGGATGCGGAGGTGGCTCAGCTACCAGAGCAAAACTTTCCAGTTCACTCTAAGGATTCGCATGTGCATGGGGCCTGCCAGTGACTGGGAACAATTATGGTGAGAGTTGTGGGTGTGACTTGATTTAGTAGACTCCAAGAGGCAGCACCCTGGTACTCTGATTGTTCATATAGTCAAACTGACCTTGAGACACGTGCCCTTTCTTCCTCTTTATAAACCCCAGTATACACCACTCCAAAACCTGAACTAACCACTTTGTCTATCTCTAGGTCCCTGAAGACCCCCTTGGAGACTCTCTCCATCACAAACTGTGATCTGTCACAGACTGACTTGAATAATTTCCCCTGGAGCCATAGCCTGCGTCAGCTAAAACATCTGGCCTTGAGAGATATCACGTTATGCACTTCATGTCTCAAGCCTCTTGGAGTGCTGCTAGAGAATGTAGCAGGTACTCTGGAATCTCTGGACTTGCAGGGTTGTAGTATCAAGGATTCTCAACTCACTGACTTCATCCCTGCCCTCAGCAAGTGCTCCCAGCTCACCAGGGTTAACTTTTGGGACAATGACTTTTCCATGCCCATCCTGAAGAACCTTTTGGGTCACACAGCCAACTTGACCAAGATGAATGTGGAGCAGTACCCGGCCCCTATGCAGTGCTATTTCGGTTTGGGTTCCGTCTCTGAAGGGAGATTTGCCCAACTTTGTCTTGAGCTCATGGATACACTCAGAGCCTTGAGGCAGCCCAAGAGGATCTTGTTTTCCACAGATCCCTGCAATGAATGTGGTGAGCGCTGTGTCTATGACCTTGGGCCCAGACTTTGCCCTTGCTTGCACTAAATAGGGAACATGACTTCTGGATGTGGGTGCTCTTCCTCTGGGGTCTTCCTCAGGCATTAGCCTCCCTGCTAGCTTCAGGGTCCGGAAAGACTCTCAACTGGCTTCAAGCATCTACTGAACCAAGGAACTGTTTTTGAAGTCTTCCATTGTGATCTCTTTATTAATTGTGTTTTTCAAAAGTCCCTAGGCCTACCCATTACATTCTCCTTTTTCAGCGTAATAAAGCAGCAATAAAATAATTCAGTGTCAGTTTTCTTCTTCATTGATATCTTTACTAAACACAGAATGATGGATGTCTTTGCTTAAATGCCATTATTGTTTTCTTGCTCCCATACACCAATTGTAAGAACTCTGGACATAACTATAAAAGTGAACAGATATATGTTTATAATGACAACATTCCATATTGGGGCAGGTAGATACTGTCTTCCTCTAGGGTGGACTAAATATCCAGGCCAGCCTGGGATACAGAGTGAGACTCTCTATCCAAAGACCCTGGATCCAGAGAGATGGCTCCAGAGCACAGGCATGGGGCTCTTTCAGAGGGCTCAAGTTCAGTTTCCTGGACCCATATCAGGTGGCTCTCTTCTGCCTGGAGCTCCAGCTCCTGGTGAAGGAATCTGTGTGGATACCTGCATTCATGTGCATTACTCCACATAATACATGTGTGCATGTGCATTTACCTAAATTTTTTAAAAAAAATTTACAAGTTAAAAAAATAAAAACTAACTTATTAGTTAAAATGGAGATAATCTCAGTGGCAGGGTGCTTGCCCAGTGCCTATGATGCCCTGGGCTCCATCTTCAGCTTTACAGGGTGTAAAGAGTACATGGAGTTTGAGGTGTGGGGTTCAGCCAGTGTTGGGCACATGCACAGCCTGCATTTGCCTCCTTGGTTTGATCTCCAGCACCACAAAAAAATTAAAATTTATGAGGGGCTTTGACATATAAAGTAGATATAGAATCAGAGGTGACCAGGTATGTATTTCATATTAACTGTCATCATTGCAGTTTTAGGTTTCATACATATTGTTTTGTTTTCTTTCCTTTTTTCAGAAAACATGCCACTACATAGCCCTCACGTAGAATTCCTGGGTGCCTAGCTCCCTGGGACGTACCTCACTTGACAGTGCTTTCCTACTATACAGGAAACCCTCAACTGGACCTGTGAAGTCCATTAAACGGGGCACATGGTACTCACTTGCAATCCCACCGTTCTGGAGGTAGAAATAGGAACAGACAGTCAAGGTCATCCTACCTACACAGGATAAGAACTTGTTCTGGAAAATGAAGACACTAAAATTAAAAAAAAAAAAAAAAAACTGTTTTACAAAAAATCCAAAGCAATGTAGCTGTATTTTATTGTTTTTTGTTTGTTTGGATGTTACTCGGTAGCACATAACTCCTGAAACTTATTTTGTAGACCAGGCTATCCTCACAGTCCCAACAGTCCTCTGCCTCAGCCTTCTGTTTGCTGGGATGACATATCTGGACCACCATGCCCTGTTTCCAGGTAAAGTGTGATACCCCCAAGCCAGGATTAGCACAGGACTGTCATTGACCTCTCCTGGGGAGGTTGGGCAAGGAGGGTCTGAAGCTCAAATTCAGATTGAGGAACTCACTGAAATCCTAATTTAAAACAATCAGTACTGCTGGGCATGGGGCTGCAGGCCTTTCATCCCAGCACTGGGGAGGCAGAGGCAGGCTGATCTCTGAGTTCAAGGGCGTCCTGGTCTAAAAAGTGAGTTCCAGGATACCAGAGCTACATAGAGAAACCCTGTGTCCAAAATGAACAAACAAAAATAGTGTTAATAGCGACTGGGGATGGAGGGCAGAAGTCAGAGGTGGAGACCTTGCTCAGTGTGTGTGGAGCCCTGGGTCCCATTCCAGGTGCCAGGTTTAATGAAAATAAAAGAGTCATAAACACAGCCGGAGATCGAGTTCAGTGGCAGAGGGTGGGCAAAGCATTCATGGAGCCCTGGGGTTAGGTCCCAGTAAGAAGGAGAGAGACAGACAGAGGAGAGAGAGATAGGAGAGAGATGGAAAGGAAAGGACAGGACAGGACAGGACAGGACAGGACAGGAGAGGAGAGGAGAGGAGAGGAGAGGAGAGGAAAGGAAAGGAAAGGAAAGGAAAGGAAAGGAAAGGACAAATAAATCAAAGGACCAGAGAAATCTGCATTTGCATCTATAATAGAGATGCAATAGAGAACATGACTTCCGGATTCGACGACATGGAAGGCTTGGGACACATCTCTCATCTGGGGACTCAGAGTTCCTGAATTCAGACACTGCTGAGATGGCTGGAAACAAAATGATGAGCAGTGAGGTGGATGTTGCAGGCTGAAGACAGGGCGAGCAGTGGGACCGCGGGGACAGGTGGAGTCTTGTGGAGTCAGAATGGCGGTTTTGTGTTTCTATGTGGCTTCTGTCAGGGTCGTGACAGTGGCTTTCTCGTGCACCTGTAAACCTGGATGCTCTCCCTCTGGGGTCTTTGTCAGTTATTAACCTCACTGCCAGATTCAGGGTCGGGAGGATCTGATGACTCCGGATTGGAAAACACTGGTATCTAATGACTGAAGCAGAGGTCCAGGTCACATCGGCAACAATGAAGTGAAATCTTTTGTGACACTTCTTTCATTCTTGTCCTTTGCCTGTGAATTAGTCGCATCCCTTTTGTGTGTCACTGAAGTGAGCAGTATAGACACTTCCTCCCGAAGGATGTTTCAAGGGACCAGGAGGGTTATTACCATCCAGTCCACGCAGACATCGTCACCATGGACCCATCAGAGATGGCTGAAGGAAAGGGGAGCTCAGGGCAAAGTGCACAGGGTTTATGAGGTTGATTCTGCACTTTTCAATTTTACTTTTTATTTCATAGTTTCCTGTATCAGGACAGCCAGGCTGTCCTTGAACTCTTGATTTTTTTCCCTTACCCTACTGAGATTACCATGAGCCACCCAAGTCCAGCCTGCGTGCCACATGTCTGTAGGGTTTAATCCTATGGACTCCTGAACTCTTTGAAATAGCCTTAGTGTATATAAAGGTGTCTAATAAATATATGTCTCTCTACAGGTATAAAACATTTACTTTAAAAAAGAGCTGTATTTTATTGTATTTTAAATCTTCCTAGGTCTATCCATTATATGCCTCCTTTTTCTCTATAGTAAGATATCAATAAAATAATTTATTATTGCACTGTTTTATTCTTCATTGGGATATGTATTGACCACATAGCACAAGGATTCTTTGCTTAAATGTACTGTTGTTCTCTGAATTCTGTAATTATCTAAATTTAAGTACTTCTCAACAAACACTTTCTGGACAGAAGTAAAATGAACAGATTGATGCCAGTAATGTCAGCATTTCAGAATCTGGGATAGGTGGATAAAGTTATCAGCCAGGGTGGGCCACATATGGACATCTGGGTAGGCTAGAGTACAGAGTAAGACAACTTTGTCGTAAAAAAAAAAAAAAAAGTAGATGGAGAGAGATGTTTTAAGATCACACAGTGATGCCGGGTGGTGGTGGTGGTGGCGGCGGTGGCGGCAGCAGCAGGCAGCAGCAGCAGCAGCAGCAGCAGCAGCAGCAGCAGCAGCAGCAGCAGCAGCA